GAAGAGTGAAGAGTCCTCCTCCAGAGGGAAGAAGCAGTAGAACCAACACCAGATGAACTGACCATAACCCCCATTCCCTGTTTCCCTGCACCGCATGGCGGGAAGGAGGCAGAGAAACTGGGATTGATGTTAAGCCCGGGAAGAAGGGAGGGATGGAGGGAAAGTGTTCTGCTTTTAAGATCTGATTGCTTTTTCTTATGTCTTACTACTCCTCTCTGAATTGTTCTCTTAATAAATGTAATTAATTTCCCAAAATCGAGTCTGTTTTCCCTGTGATGGTAAATGAAAGTGATCTCCCTGTCCTTATCTCAAACCTTGAGCCCTTTGAAACATTTTCTTCCCCTGTCTAGAGGAGAAGGGGGAGTGAAAGAGGGGCTGCTTGGGCACCTGGCTGCCAGCCAGGGTCAAACCACGACCACAGGGTAGATTTAGAGTTGATATAGGGAAGAAACTTTGAACGATGAGGGTGGTGAGATCCTGAAACAGGTTGTCCATCCTTGGAAGTGTTCCAGGTCAGGTTGGCTGGAGCTTTGAGCAACCTAATCGAGTTAAAGATGTCCCTGCCCATGGAAGGAGGGGTGGAACCAGTTGAACTTTAAAGGTCCCTTCCAATCCAAACCATTCTGTGGTTCTCTATGAAACTTTATTTAACATCAGAAGAACAGAAACTTGAAGGGAAACATGCTTTAAGGCAGAAAATGGGTCTCAAAACTTAATCAGTGCATTTTTAACATTCTTACTAAAAAAAACCAAGCTGCTACTAGATCAAAAATATAACTTACAGAAACAAGTATTAACAGAAATACCTGATTTTTTAAAAAATTTGTGTGTTATTATTCACATCAATAACTCATTTGCTTTTGCCTACATACCAGGTACTACTACTTACACATGCAAACATTTCTGATTTTGGATTCTAAAGTCTGATGTTTAAGGTAGAATTGCACTTCATATATTTCATGTAGCCTACAGTAAAAGCCTGGAAGAGTAGAAAAACTTTACATTACACCACCAACTATAAGACATCAAGTGTCAGAATAAAGAGTTTAAGCTTCACAGAAAACCCTTTGTGCTCAGGGTTTAATCTGACCCCTCAGGGCCATTCAGGCAGATTTCTTAAAAAGAGAATGGCAATCACACAGTCAGCTTTGACTTCATTAAATGCAAAACTGACTACTAAGGACTTAAGTTACATAAAAGGCAGATTTCTACCCCCGGAAAGTAATTTTGGTTGCTAGTTAAACTTCTTCGCCGCTTCTCCTGGGAAGGAAGTCTGTGGAGAACAGCATCGCACAGATCACAAGAAAGGCAGGGCAGTTCCTGGAAGAACATTTCCCACTGGTGTGGGAAGTGTCTGGACCATTTGCTTAAAAAAGGCACGGCCCAGAGGCTTGTGAGCAACACGCAGGTAGGGCGTAATTAATGAGGCCTGAAAACTATGGCAGAACTCTTCGGCTCTCACTTTCTACCTCAGAACAGCAATGGAAAGAGTCTACTGCACTAGATATCATCACGGTACTCCCCATACTTTGCTGTGATAGGTTCCTCAAGATGAACTGCTGCACCACCCATTAAGGCAAATGCTGGGTACATGACGTCAGAGCAGTCCACCTCACACTCATAAAGGCATTTCATACTGCCTGCATCATAAAACCCCACCTTGCCTCTGTCACAGTCGAGGCAGATGCCCAAGCACGATGGCAGGGGAAGGATTCTGTTCGCTGGATCCTTGGGGGCAGCAGGTGTTGTGGGGATAAAGAACTTCTTCATGCCTACAGTGACCAGTGTAAAAGGCTGCGATGAGTCGAAGAAGGCATCTTCACTCCCACTGTCATGACCACTGTCTTGCTCATATCTATAACAGGAAAATAACCATTTGCTTTTGTCACATCAGTGATGTGAACTGGAGAAAACATTTCTGTAACATCACACAATCACCCACAAAACCTTGTGGGGCAAAAATATACCTAAGTCAGGAGGGAAGATGCACATAGGAGGTGGAGAACACTCACTTGGGCCACTTCAAACAGTAATTATCAGCCGAACACTAATGACAAGACCACAGAAGGCTTTACTAAGGAATGGATGTATACAAATGTACTCATGCTAGGCAATCATTAATGGACCTACACGTATAGCAAACTAGTTCACTTGAGACGTAATTTAGCAAATATGACTAATCATTACGGATAAGATATGTTTAACTTTATTTGTATAATGTTAAACATCAGTGAACGCACTTAACATTACTGTTGTCCTATGAGTTTTACACACTACTGCTGTATGACATTGTCTTTAAAATTAACACAGAAAGCAGTGGTTTAAGCTTTTGGTTTGTGGGGTTTTTCTAAGTAGTCTGTCTCACAACTTCCCTCAAAACTTGTTTCCCAGCTGGTTACTGGGGAACACCTGTAGCCACATTTGTTCAGGATTTTACTTCTGTTCACATATGAAGACAGAACAGAGAAGCACACATTCTTTTGTGCAGACAATCCCTAGCTAGGTTTGCATTGTGGGGGTGTTTGCAGGGAGGTTGGATGTGTGTCAGCTGAAGTCTTCCAGGTGTTTCTGCTGATAAGGAAAAAGAAATCAGGAAATCAGGATATCAGGATCTAATTTCTCACTTTGCAGAAAGGTTCCACCTGACTTCAAGCAGCTCAAGATATCAGCATTTTACCCTTTCAGTATGTCATACAGGAGGAAGTCAATAGGGCTCTGGATAATTAGACCACCTTTCTAATAATAATAGGGGATGAACAGGACAATCTGCTTGCACCATATGCTTCAAGCCACTTTCCACTAGTTAGGTTCACCTTATGTATTAATTGAGACTAGACCTGCTCTTACTTTGTTTTTTTAAAAGCCATCTCCTTATATAAAATACGTATTAAGCAAGAGTTCAATTTACCTTGGGCTGGTCACATCATGGGTATTATGAAACAATTTCTGTATCCTGTTGCTAGAAACAACTCCCACTTTCACCAGGTATGAATAGGCTTCCACATGAAAAGCCCAGAAGTGCTTCCCTTTGGCAATTCCAGCGTCACCAATGATGTAATCCAGGGTTGTGTAGCATCCAACTTGCATGCGCTCAGATCCCAGAAGTAGAGAAAATCCAGCCCTACTTTCCACAGAGGTTCTCCTTGAGTTCAGCAGGAGATGTTCGCTGTTGTACCCACATTTGTCATCAAAAAGAAAACTGAAAACTGAAAAACAGTATCCCAAGAAATTTCCTCTTAGTTAAGTATTTGGCCTTCTGTGCTTCACAAAGGGCATTTGAAGTCACATTACAACTGCTCACTTTTGAAAGGCTACCAGGAATGTCATGCAAGCTAACTCAGTTGTAGTATACTACCTACTTAACTTGTTTGTTAACACCATTTCTAAACATTCATGCAACCAGTAAGAGTATAGTAGAAGTCTGAGAGCTATTGGAAACTACCACAGATCTTAACACCGAGAGACACAGTTTCAACTCCATACCTGGAGCTGGAGGTGTACGCAAAATAACTTCTTGGCTCCAAGGGCTACAGATGGACCCTTTATATCCTCGAACTCTAAAGGCATAGCTGCTGTCATCATCGAGATCAGATATTACTTTGCTCTTGCCGCAAACTTTGACCTCCTGCCACGTCACACTCTCCTCTTCTCTGTTAAGCTTGTGATACCCAAGAACATAGATATCAGCTGAGTCTGTCTTCCCAGGGCATTCCCAACTGATTAGAGCTTTGTTGTACATTCTGCTCTGCACTTCACTGATTTCTGGTACTTCAAGACCTGAAATGCCAGAGATTCAGGAGAAAAAAAGCCTTATATTTAGATATACACTGTTTTAGAATGAACTACACAAGCCCTTTGCTTAGTGGCCATCGCACTTCGGCAGTAATCTGAGAGTAGAGATGAGAATGGTTCTGTTCAAGCACTTAAATAAATCCTTTACCTTGTTTTTACTTTGAAAGTTTTACTATTTATTTTTTGCTAGCAGCTAAAAAAAACATGAAAATCCACTCTTCTCTGTCACGCAACAAAAAGCTTCTAGGTAGACCTGGTACTAAACTACAATATTTTGGAAGTGAATGTAAACTGTTACTGAATGCAATGGCATCTTAGCTTCTTTATCAAAGCTGAAACTACCATTTCTGCCAGGTAATGGCTAGTGGATCGTGGAGACAGAAGGGACAATGTAAATCACAAGACTGAGTTCTGCAACTGCAGCCCTGCATAGATTTTGCCCTTAAAGATGTAACTCAAGAAAGACTTCACAGTTTACCATTGGAATGGAAAGACAAGTCAGAAAGGATCTCTTCCTGCTTGGCTATGTCCACCACAAAGTCTTCAAAAGTAGTTTCAGCTGCAGGCCTGAAGCTCTTCAGAGATTCAGTAGCTTTTTGGATTCTAAAAACACAAAAGCAGAGCGATAGCAGAAGAGAAAAAAGAGAAGTCACATGTGTGTATTCCTTGAAGTAAAAATGCTAAGTTTTGCTTCTTAACAAGTTCTATTTTCACTTACTTACTGGTATCTCCCAGAAATCTCTGTCTCCCTAGACAGAATTCAAATGCAAAATTTAAAGGCCGTTTGTACATCAGTATAAGGTCAGCAACAGGTAATCATTCACTTGACAGAGTATTTTAACAATTTTGGGCATTATGTTCAAAGAACAAAATAGGTGGGAAGCGCTAATGGAGAATGACTACTAAGATCAAAGAGTTTAAAGCCAGAGGAGACCTGTCAGATTAACTTGCAAATACGTGATGCAATCTCTGAGTAAAGGGATGTGTCAGTGAGCTGAACAGGCTACCCTTCCACTGCAGCCCTGTGGAACAAGGCTAGGCACTGCTGCAAGACAGAGCCTCTCCTGTGTGTTATTTCTTAACGCATGCTGTAATGTAGTAACTAACTTATACAGAACAGTACCAGGGCCATCTCCTGGGCCTCTGCAACACAAAACACCGCATTCAGTACTTTGGTAGCAAGTGTCAAAAGAATATGGCTGACCAGACATCCTGGAAGAGTACCTGTACCTCAAACAGAAGATAATTAAGATACCTGACATGAAGTTGTTTTGCTGTTTGAACGAAACAAGATGGATCAGTTTCTTTAAGCACTTCTTGAGCATATCCTACAAGACCATTATTTTCCAGGAGTCCTTGATACTCTTCTGCTTGCATTTGCAATTTTTCCAGCCTTAAATTCTTAGAAGTTTCAATTGCTCTAAGAGCTGCAGATTTCTTCTCTTCCAGGACATGAGATAATTTCTCAAAACTCTGCAATGCTTCTTTTTTAGCTCTTTCACTGTTGCACTAGGAGGGAACAAAAGACCCTTCAGACAGACTCCATAGCGCTGTGGCTGTGTACAGAAACACACTCAGGATTGTTGAAGATATCACAGAAATCTAGTCATCCATCTGACAGACAAGATTAATGAGCTTGTTATGCTCTTCACCACTGCAAACACAATCAGCACTGCATCCAGGTAGCAAGCCAGCAAATATCTACTATCTCAACACAGAAAATGAAGAGTAGGAAAGTATTCCTCTGTTTATGCCTTGAGTTATGCACAGCACTTGTCTCAACAGCTCATGGAGAAGCATTGTAAAAGCAGGTCAGCCTCTCTGAAGTCTTCACACCCAAGAGCTAGGTGGTCCTCCACCTTTCCCAATCACCCTGAACAGCCCAGTTTCTCAAGTATGCTCTCAGAACTGTAGTGCCACTTCTGATCAGTGCCCTGAATAAAAGGAACTACAAAGCATGGAGATAATCTGTATCATGATATAGATGAGGCCAGGATCTCCTGCAATTTCTGACATTGTTCAGCTTGTATGTGAGCTCTGAGCTTTGATTCTTATACAGTGATACTTTCCCTTAATTCTGACTTCACTGAAACATTCTCAAGGTAAACAGATAGTGTAAATTGTGCAGCACCATTAATACATGAAAATACTAAGTCTAACCTACTTGTCTTTGGTTAAGGCATCAAATAATCTTTATTTCCCTCCATATGTTGCCCAAATTTCCCACACTGTCAGGATTAGGTCCTACCGTGTGTGATGCAGGACTAACAAACTGTTGAGAAATTGATTTACTGTCTAAATGAAAAAAAACCAAGGGATTTGAAACACTTCACTGAAAACAGTTTGACTCCTTGCTGCGTCCCTGCCAGGGCCAGCCCCAGACAACCCACAAGCCACTCTCACCTCTGTTTCTTTCAGCAGCAGATCCAGCTGTGTGATGTGAGCCTTCACCTGGCTCTCCTTACTGATGAGGTATTCAATATCTTTCGAAAGCCTCTCCTGTTAAAATGGAACAGCAAGATGGCAGAACAAGGATATCGCACCCAAACTGACAACCAGTGCAGGCAAGTCATCCAGCTAGTGCTCACTTTATCTAGCTACAAGGACAACAGCCTGTCGCCAGTTACAAGCAGCAACCCCTGGGAGAATCGCTCAGTGACCCGCAGTGACTGCACAGGGACATCAGGCCACTGCTGTGAGCAAGGCTGGGGACACAGCATCTAAGGACAAGGAGTAATACAGTCACCCAGCTCATTCTTCCCCAGCCACAGGAGTCACTCTCTCTTAGGCTAGGAACACCACGCTTCAGGACATTACGTTAGTTATTAACTATGTAGTAAGATGTGCTACAAAAATGTGCGGTTCAAAGCATGAACTTATGAGTGTCTCTGCACTTCCGTAGTTGCAAGTGTTAACAGCTGTACAGGAAAAGCCTTGCACACAGTTGAGGAGGCCAAAGAGCACAGGTAGCCTGGTCTGGTCTTTTTTTTTTTTTTTCCCCCCTGTGAGCACAAGAAGAAGAAAAGGAAGAGGGGGTAGCAGCAATTATTCTTGAATAACAAAGCAATGCTTACAAGTCTTCCCGGTTGCACTGTACTTAGGAAATTAACACCTATGCAACTTCAGAAACGTACAAGGTCCCAACAGATACTTCATACACTTCTAAAGTATGAGCTAACCCAAGACACAAAGACACATCTTAAAAAAGCTAAATTGTAAAGTATTAACTGCTTAAACCTTCTGCACTGGTCAGTACTGCTGTACCGTTGGCTAAAATAAGGTGGAAGCACTTTTAATGTTTCAAGCCTCAGAGAAAATATAGCTCAGTTTCTTAGACGTGTACTATGTCACGCTAATATATATATTAACAGATGTTGCACAACAGCAATGCCTTATGACTAGTTCAGTGTCCTCTAAATGACGTCTTGGCTTCCTGCCAAAGGGAGTTTGCCCTGACACCATAAGCTCAGTACTCTTCTCCCTCTTAAGATCAGGCCCAACAATATTTACTTTTACCTTAAGGGTTTTGTAGGCAGTGCTCATGGTTGTAACTCTATGGTTTGCATGACATCCACCTCGTTTACAAAGATTACAAACAGGCCTTCTGCAGATTTCACAGTACATGTTAACCCTCTCTGTTTCATGTTCTGGACACATCAATATCTGTGGGAAAAAAAGAAAAAAAAAAAAAAGAAGAGAGCAGAGAGAATGCAGGTGTACTTCCAAAAAGCGAGGTGCTAAACAAATAATCAAAACCCTCAATAATCCCACCCCAGCATCTGATTTCATCCACAGATTTTTTACATTATCTTCCACCTTTTCTATTTGTCCATGCCAGTGAAAGCCAGCAGATGAACATGCGTAGTTTAATGAGGTTTATAGTGAGTAAAGCTGTAGCAACGTCTATGTACACACCACATATCCTCCATACTGCAGTCATCTGTTCTGCTAATCCCCAAAGCTGTTTGCATACCTCAAGCTCCCTACACTTCTGTTCAGAGCTGTAAATGCAACACATAACACCCTACCCTGTCAAATTTAACCATGTCCATGCCAGCATCTCTTGAAACAGCTGTGAACTGTTTGTTAAAACAAGAGTCAACATAATATTGTAATAATTTAAATTTAAGCTAGACTCTGAACACATAGCCATTGATCTTGGAGCAACAAACGAAATGCAGCCACCGTCACCAGGCACAGTCATTTCAAAGACAAAAGGCTCCAGTGTTTCAATTTTTTCTCTCTAACTCCAGTTCCAAGTTGCTCATGCTGAGCGCTAATTCCAGTATCAGCTTAAACAGCATCACAGAAAGAAAAGCTGGTGTGTGTTAAAAAAATCATCTTTCAAATGTGTTGAAACACCTGCTTGAAGAGCAAAAAACGTGCTACTTAATTCCCAAGTTCATGCAATAGATAAAGCCATCTAAGGCGGGGGGGGGGGGGGGGGGGGGGGGGAAAAAAAATTCCTTATATTTCAGAAGTTTAATGAGATATGCTTTGCCTCATTCCAGAGCACTGAAAGATAACATTTGTGTCTATCTACTCCATGTTACAAGAAAAGAGCTCCTCAGAAAGCTTTTCAGTTTTGTGTCAAGCGGAAGAACAACAGTGCCAACTGTCCAGCTTTATAAGTATCATTTTCTCACACACACACATAAAGAAAAGGCCAGGAAAGAGCATAAACCCACAAAACTGTGAGTAGCATAAATATGGTCACACTAAGCTAAAATTGCAGACCACCTCTGAAACCAGCTCTCAAGTCCCAAATGTTATTTTAAGCTATGGGGAAAAGCTCAAAGATGCCAGTCTCACTATCACTGACTCCTTGGTATGTCAGACTGTCGTTAAGCAGAATACATGATAAATTATGCCACTGTCACCGACTGTTGGATTTGGGGAGGGGAAAAAAAAAAAGGAAAAAGCTATCAGGAAGAAAAAAAAAAAAAAAAAAGGAAAAAGCTTTCAGGAAAACCAGCTTAGCAGGCAGACATTTCCAAAAACTGCAGTCATGCAGTTGGTCTACAGAAGTAATTTTTCCACAGCAGTGCACAATCTCACCTGCACAATCTAACCTAACAGAAACCACATATTTTTACTAAACTCTTCATATGAGCAAGAACTGTGAGAGCCTGCAAGCTAAAGACAGAAGAGGTCAGCAGATTACCTTGTCTAGTTCTCTCAAAATTTGAGAACAATCAGCCCAGTATTGTGCTTCTTCCATCCTCACCACACACGTTACAAAGTGCTCTCCAGTCTGGTTGTAAATTAAAAGGGATGACTGGGAACACTGTTTACGAGCCCAGCAAATACTCCATGCATTCAGTTCAGGTCATAACAATGCAGTGCAATGAAAAACACACTTTCTTCATATTAAGTTCAAACAGCCCTCAGGAAAGTCTCTATAAGAGCACAGTAAAGATAAGTTTACTGGTGGAAATTTTTTCTGTGAAGTAGATATATCTATAGTTGGCTTAAATGTTATATGTTTTTCTCTTTTCTTCTTTTCTGAAACAGTACATCTGTCTTCACAAATAATTAAAAAAAGCTAAATCCCATGCAAGTGCATGCACTTGATACATCAAGGTCACGATGATCTAAACCACTTCTCCCCCTTTCGCTCTGCTGCAGAAGAACTCAACTGCCAATTTTTAAACCGTAACTGAAACCTTGAAAATCAGCATTTGCAGTATCTGTGGGACCTCTAGACTTCACTCTAGTGAAGTCACTGGCCACAGACATGCAGCAAGTGCTGGGACATTTAAGACCTATTGTGGTTCCTTGTTAGAGAGACAGCAGCTGTGACAATTCCTCACAACATACTAAATTCAATAAGGCACTGACATGTTCTGCACCACGTTTAACACAAGAAACAAAGGTAAAAGCACTTTGCAAGTGCTCTATTTTGCCTGAATGCACCAAGAGCAGCATGTAAAATAGAAAACTGTCATTATATTTTTCTCTTTTGCTATAGCTAAAAAAATAACATGGTACAACAACAACAGAGACCTGAACTCTGCCTTTTGCTACTGATAGATGCAAGAATGGAAGAGATGAAGAAGATGCTTTGGGACAGATCAAGTTCAGACACAAAGCCTCCAAAGGGAACCTGCCTTAAGAGCGGGGGATGGGGCAGGGTGCAGTTGTGTTGGGTTGTTAAAGTTTCCCATACACATGCATCCTCCTTAACCCAACTTCTGAAGAAAAGCATTGCCATCCCAGATGTTCAAGATAAATTTTCCAAAAACAGGAAAAAGCCAAATCACAACTAACACAATCCATTCCCAAAAGTAATTTTTTTACAGTCTCCTTCAAATATGTTCTCAAGTCCTCTTCAGCAACAACCACTTCAGCATCAACAAGAATGAAAGCTTATGGCTCACTCAACAAATAATAGCAACAATGGCGCTATAAAAAAAGTCACCATTGCACAGATATGTCTGAAGCTATTTGAGAATGCTGCAACACACATTCTTTAAGATAAAGCATACTTACCTTGGGTCTGAAGTTGGTGGTTGGTCCCACATACTCATGCTGGGCTTTTGCAGTTCCCCAAGGATGGTGTATTTTGAAACATTCATTGCAATAGCTTGCACTGCAATCCATGCAGCTTTTTGTGGACTCTTGAGGTGGAGGTTTGCAGAAATCACACATAATAGCAATGGCTGCCCTGGCTGCCTGTCTGTATCTTTCCACAATGGTTTCCAAAGTAAAGTTGCGAAATAAGCCATTGATGCCACGTTCTCCGAGATCAATCTCCCGCTGACAACCCGGACAAGGAAACAGACTCGATCTAGGAGTCAGTGAATTGCGTTTCCTGCCTGTGTAGATACCAAATCCTGATTTAGGAGGAGCATAAACAGAAGAGGTTTAGATTTCAAAGGAAGAAGCACATGAACTTATGAAGCAATTCCAAACAAACATAGCACATTGTCCAAACAAATACAATACCAATTCATATGCAGTCTGCCAAGCCAAAGAGAATACATTTGCCATGACAAGGTGGTGTAATGTCTGAGTCCAGCTGACATTACAAACTACGACTCCAAAACTTCATTCTAATTAAGCTAAACTTAGCTGTTCCAATCCTATCCTCTTAATCTGGTTTTGGATGCATCCAAGCTCCAGCCTTTTGAAATACCACACACAAAAACTTCTGGAAACCACTTGTTTTTAGGCTAACTGGCCACCTGTACAGAGAGCAACACCTTCACAACATACTGAAGTGAAAGACGCTTATTCTCAGAGCAAGACTAGTTATTCCCAGACAAATACAGCAAACTCAGAGATCCCTGAAGTTTGCTTTGGCTGAGTCAAACTTATCTGGCTCATCTCAAGAGGCACAACAAAAAAATAAAGATGAAAATATGAGAACTACATACTACCATTATGAAATCTCAGACAAATCATTTAGCCAAAAGATGCAGGGGATGACTTGGCCCTGGCTGAAGCCTTGATAAAGAGGGCTGCCAAGTAAGCCCCACACACCAAAGGGGATGCTGAATTGGCCATATCTGAGAGGTTCTTCCACCCTGAATCAGGGAATTGTAGAACGTTAGGGGTTGGAAAGGACCTCTAGAAGCACAGATCCACACAGTTACATGGAGTGTGTCTATCTCTTTTCATTTCAAAAGGCGACAGCAGAGAAGCTGCACTTCTACCAAACAGCTACGCACAAATTTCCACTCCTCTCCAAAATAGTCATCAAAGGCTGAAGTAAAGCCACAAGCCTAGAAGGAGCCTTCTAGGGGATGGCTCACACAGACCCAAAAGCTATTTACAAAGTAAAATTCTTGAGGCTATCAAACACAGAATGTGTCCCCAGGTCTCAATCGTGAATCCACAGGGCACAACTATCAAAAAGAGTCCTTTATGTATTTCTGAAGCAGGCTAAGCCACTCTGTAGGCTTAACACACACTCCTTACAAAGAAACAAAAAAACATGCTCTGTAGCTGGAGCGTGGTTGGACTGCATGATGGTATAACTAACAAATTTGTAGATGGAGGTAGGACTTAAAGCCAAATTCTTAGTGCAGAAACTGGTTCCTCTTCAGAAAGGGAAATTGGTTCTCATCTGTATTCAGTATCTTCACATTAGAAATGTTGACGCTTCATTTCTTTTTGAAGTGTTCTTTGATGTTATCCAAAAGACACTTCCCTTGTGCCATTCCTCTATGGCTGCTTCACCCAACAGTTCAAAACTTCCCTTCTTATCATGCCCTTTCCAGTCTAGTTCCTTTAAAAATCTTTGAAATGTGCAGCATGGTGGCTATGTATGACCATCAGCTAAGAAGTCACAACCAGAGCACGAGTAAGTCTGTACAAGCTGGCAGTCTCAAACTCAGCTGTCTCATGCCTTTCTGTAGGTTCTGAGCAGAACTAGACTGCATTTACAGAACCGTATGAGTGACAGAAGACATCAGTATAAAACTCTCTGGCTAAGGGAAACAGAGATTTTTCTTCTTACTTTTTTAGTACTTACTTGAAGCAAATTAATTACCCAAACTGCATGTCCTGCAGTACCTGCAACTTGGCATACACAGCAACACACACATGCAATGCACAGCAACAGCAGGGAAACATGAACTGTATTTCCAGCATATGCTCCAAGCTAGCACAGCACACAGGAACACAAAAGAGATCTTCTAGACAGACTTCTACAATGCCCTAAACAAAAAAAAATGATTTTGCATGCAGTGCCATGCAGCTACAGAAAGGTATCCAGAGTACTTCTATTTGCTAAAGCTAATGAAATAATGATACAGTGTCTATGCTGCCTACAAGCAGTATGCTATAGCAGAGAGCAAGCGATGACAAAGAAAGATAACAGGAACAAAAAGAAAACACCATAAAATCACAAACATGGTGCAGTGGTCAAGTTTAAAAATACAATTCAAAAATTTGTATCTGGTAGCATGCTTTGAAGTCTGGCCCAAGTGGCTCAAACATGGAAGGGGTGTTGTTTAACTCAACGGTGAGTTCGGCTGCATCCCAATGGAGGCCTTTCATTCTGCCCGTGGCGGACCCAAACCAGACCGTCATCACGAGCCATGCTCGGCGAAAACTGGTGACACTCTGCTTACGGAAAGCAATCCAGCTTCAGGAAATCCTGCGCATCTTCAGATGTCTCTTCCCTTTCCACTGACAGCACTCTAAGAGCCTATAGTTGGGTGTTTTCCCCCATTTTAAACCCTGGAAGTTTACTTGCCAGGCTTTTTGACATGCTCTGCCACTTGGACGCTTGAAGGATGGAAACGTTCCCTGTTTGCCTAGCGAGTGTTAAAATATCAACATGCAGTAACAATTAGTCTGCATTTTGCTTGTAGGATTTCTATATTCGTATTTTAAAAGGAAAGCACTGATGAATTACTGAATCTGAGCACCATCTTTCCTATCTGTCTTGTATCCAGCCTGCTAAAACTAAATTTTGCTTATAGAGAAAAAAAAACACCCAAAAATCAAAAAGCAGAGCAGCAAAATCCATGGATTTCGTAGTCATATTATATATGCAGCTGAGAAAAACTTAGGTCATCCCCATTCTCTTTTACACTTTGCCAATTCAGTTTACAACAAATATGTATGTATTTTGCAAAGTATTAGGAAGCATCACAAGAAATTTTTCCCTGTGGTCTGTAAACAGACTGCTTCACTTGCAATGAACAGCTCAATCAGTAATTAAAAAATTAGCACAATGTATGCTCATGCTCTGCAAAAACTAAGGTCAAAGAGCAATCTTAACTATGTCTTTTAAAGACAATGTTTAAATGCCCTCTTCTCAAGGAGAGGTACCAGCACTTAAAATGTTGAAAAATCCAACCTGATGATTTGCAAAGGGATAAGACATCCTAAAGATAAAACTGTGTTTTCCAAGTAAACAGTATCACCAGAATTCTATGGTTATGGAAGACATGGAAGTTAAATGTGTGAGAGTTTAAAAAAAAAAAAAAAAAAAAAAAATCAAGATTTTAAAAGTCAACTGGATTTTCACAAAACATAAGTGTATCTAGCCATCCCCCTAAACTCAGTTAAAGCTTTTGGACAGGTTTTTTATGAAGAAAAAAAGAAAAGTGAGACAAGTCAGTAGCTGCAAAAACTTGTTTTCAGATAACCTTCCCCAAATCAAGGAATTTTTCTTCCAAAAGAGTAGATAAGGTCAGCTTTCCAAGAGCTGTGATGGTGTCTTATGGTATCTTTGTTTTATTACACTTGGCAGTCTTAAACTGAGGCAATTTAAACTTCCCCTTCCGATTAGCTGCTTTGTTCTCCATTTAGTGTGAAATTCAGATTTGCGTTTAGGTCAGTTCATGGCTTTCCTGAACGACACAGTATTTCTATGGATTGCTCACATGCCTGCCAATATTATAGCAATATAGAGCTTTGGGTTTGTTTTATTTTCTCCATTTTTGACAGAGCATCACATCAAAAAAATAAATATTTATGTTAACAAGACTACACAGTGGCTGAGATGCTCAGACTATATATATATATACTTAAAACAAAAATTCACTGGCTGTCCTTCAACCCAACTATCACTAAGCATGTTAAACATTACAAGTGTATAAATCTAAAATATTTACTTTTCCTCATATATTCATACATCATGCTAAATTGCCAGATCCAGAACTAATCACTCAGATTAACATGGCGTAAATTTCAATCTGCTTCTTCATCAAATTAAGCAGCCTCAGATATAATGAAGAACCAGGATTATCTTCTATTTGAAAATGATGGCCAACCATGACCTCTCAATGTTACAAAGATCAGTCTAGTAATTACACTTCACTACCAGCAAGACAGCAGTTCTACCAGAACTTGAGCATGTAAACTCCAAAGCGTGGGGCAGGGGAGTGCCTGTTGAGTTTTTGTTTTAAAGAGAAGCAAGAATGTGTATTTTTGCATCCATCCACATACATTAAGTCATGTATACACACAAGAAAAAAATATAATAATCCAACCCTTAAGTGAATTCCAGTCCAGTTGACCTTTAAGTCAGCGTTAAACAGAATGAAAAGCTTTCCTCACAGAAGTCCTTTGTTGTATCTTTGCTCACTGCAAAAGCCATTTTGTCGACTTGACCACTGACAAAAAGCTATATGCTAACCAACAATATTTAACTTGAGATCTAAATGCTAGACTATCTCTAGCCAATACAAGAAGTGAAGCATTTCTACCTCTCCACCCAAAAGACCTCCTCTGTGAGGCTGTGAACGATGAACAGAAAACTGTTTAGAAATCAAAAAATAAGATACACCATTGGTTTACAATGGTTCAAATGAAAAGCATCAACTGTCTTCTCTTTTGCGACTGTTAAACTACCACAGGGCTGAAATGCAGGAATGTTTAATTTCCTAGAACATGAAAAAAATGTAGTATTTAAGCAGAACAGAAAAATGAAACACAGGGAAAGATAATTCAAACATTCAGTTTCTGCATCATCCATCAGTGCTGTGTAAGTGTCAACATAACCACATTACAGGCTTTACTCTAATAACACCAACATTGTAATTACAGTAACATTACAGAAGACGTAAAAGCAGTACGATATATCCTTTATTTTCATTTTATATGCAACGTATTTTTTAATCAAAAATTATTTTACATACATCATAAACTATGGGGATTTTTAAACCAACACATCAGATTTTAAGAAGCACACGCCCTCCACTTCAACTGAAGATGAATTGTATTAAGATGAATTGTATTTGTAAATGCAAGCTGTGTGTGCATAACAAATACAGACTGTGGACCAGTTCCTTCTGGCATCTCAAGAATTTAAATGTCAAAATCATTTTAAATAGATGATACTCCTCATGCAGATAGTAGGGATTCCTTAAGTGAAAAAGAAAGAAATACACAGTGGGAGGAAGGTGTCATTTGAATTTTCAGATATAACAATAATGACCTGACAGTGACATGACCTGCACAAGACCACCAGAAATTCTAGTGGGTCTTTTTTTATACATTAGAAGCCCTACTTCGATGTTTTCGTGTACATTTTCTCTCTTATGGAGCTGGTTTTTTACAAAATCTCCCCAATTAAGGCAATGCACCGTAAGGGCACTTCAGACGCAAGATGAGAATTGAACACATGTGAGTTGCAAGCTGGTTGAACATTACTGGTACCAAACGTCTGGGAGCAAATCTCACACCCCACACAGCAATGGAGCTGTAACGCCTGTAACATTAAAAGCGAAGACAGCATAACCTGAATGTCCAAACGTATTCTTTAAGACTCCCATTTCCATATACTTTTCATTTTGCAAATTTGAGCTGTCTGAGATGATAATTTTTGTGTGATGTGCATCTGCCCAATGCTCTTTGGGGGGGAAGAAGCAGGGAAGCCCATTATTTCCAAGTCTCAAGCCTCTCTTACTACTCATCAAACAGGTATAAAGTCTCAGGAATGCATTCATCTCCCTCTACCAGCAGGTCAGATGATGAGATAACACACATAACTTTCCATCAGTTTGCTGGGACGCTGCCAGACTACTGCGGATTTCAAGATTACAACCCCTGCACGCAACATGCGTGCATGTATCTCAGTGAGGGGAGGAGTACCATGAATGGGTCTTTCTCGCCCTGGTATGAGGGGCATACAGATGCAGCAACACTAAATCTTGAGAGAGGAGTAGCCAACAACCATGGCAGCACTCCGCAAATCCAGCAGTAATTAAATGTCCTGTTCTCAAGGGAGCTCTGCTTGCTTCGAGCACACAGCACCACGTGTGGGATACGTTACACCAGAACCCTATTTTCTACTGCCCGCTGGAGAGCAAGGTGGAGGGCAGCTTTTGACGAGAGATAAAGGATTACCTCCTCAGGCTGCTGAAGGCAGATCTGTATTTGGAAGGCTCTCTTCCTTCAAATTTCACATAATGCTGCAATAAGCAGCTGAAGTGTATGCAGAGAGTTAACAAGTGATTGTGGTGCTGTGCACCTCACGCCCAGAAAACAGGACTGTGATGAAGATAACTAGCCATTTGACTTGAGGATTCTCTCAAATCACAGAAGCCTCAACCTACCAAGCTACAGCAAACATAGCATTCGCTTAGCAAACTGATTCGAAAGAGCACCAGTACTAATGACTCGGGAGTTGTTTAAAAGAAGCAGGTGAAAAAAAACATTTCAACTTTGAAAACTGGTAAGGGGAGGATGAATGCCAGTAACATATGAAATGCAGGACACAGCTTTAGGCTTTGTCTTTTGGGTGACCCTTCCAAAGCACCTCAGAACGTGGTCTTTAAGTAGATAATTACGACAGAAGGAAGTCTAAAAGCCAAGATGAGGCTTCTTTCAAGGAGCATAGCATGCACAAAGTACTTTTAATGTATCTGTGTAAAAGCGGATCACCTCATCCGCGGATTACACAGACAGCTCTAAGAATCTTTCAAGTGTGATAATACAAGGAGTATGAAGAATCCTACAGCTAAGTGCTCCTTAAAGCTTCGAGCAAACCACACTGAAAAAGACTTAGCATAGTCTTCTCACAGTCATCTGTCCTCCAATTCTGCAACTACAAAATGATCATCATCTATGGAAAATGATTTATTGTAAGCATACTGAAATAGGCAGGGCAAAACTATCATTTGCAAAGACTGCAGAGGCTCAGAAGGAGGTCAGAACTCCCAAATTTAGGATGGCTGAAACCTGAGAGGACCACCTCAACAGTACTACTGGTAGGCAATAAAATCACTGAATTCTACATCTCAGTGGTATTAAACATAATGTTATTGCATCTCAGTGTAACTGAAATACAGGAATAAGCAAACACAATGGTTCTAAAGATTTACAGGATGCCACAAAGACAATTCTATTATATATGAAATAAAGTGCATTGTCCTTAAAAATATTCCCATTGTTCTTGCCACAGAATGAACAAGACCTGCGCTATCCCCAAGTCATCTCTTTAACCGCATCAGGAGTACTGGGAAGACATTTTTACCAATGCAGATACCACTCAGTTCAAGTCAGTCTAACACATAAAACCAGGAGAACATGCAAAAATTCTGATACATACCTGATCTACTAATCCTGTCAATTCTGTCCATGCTAGAAGAAGAGATTTTAATTCGAGGGCTACTCTGATTAGAGGATTCAGAGCCTCCATCAGCAAAAGAGTCTTCGAATGCAAAGAGTATTTCTTTCACACATTTGTGACAGATATTGTGCTGGCAAGGAAGGATCAATGGGTGGGTAAATAATTCCTTGCATGCTGGGCAGATGAGCTCTCTTTCGATACCCTTAATGGCAACCTTCATGACAGAAAGAGGGAGAAACAAGTGTAAGCGCAGAAAACGTGAGTGAGCAAGACTTATGGCACAGTTCTATGTCTCTATGTCACCGAACCCCAGCTCTGTGGATTAAATGTTGCACACAGTTTTAGCTGGTTTGAAGTACTCCCCTGGTTAACACTGGAAACAAACATCAATTAACATTTAAGAAAGCAACTGACAGCATTCATCTCAACTGAAACGAACACTGCCACTAGGCAAACACAGTTCATCTTCAGGTCATGCCTGCATTGCAGGGGAGGAAAGGAGTGAGTAGTCTCGACTCCACTCACGGACCTAGTGAAACGAAAGCAACCGCACTTCTTAACAATAGGAACCCATACGTTTAACTCAGCTCACTTTAGAAAAGAAAAAAAAAGAAAGAATTCAAGCGTCAGACTAGCTGAACAACAGGCTGTCCTGCTATGTAATTCATATATTTAAGGGCTTCAACTGCCCTGGCTTCACTAGGCTAACAGTTCCGAGTCAGGAACACGATGTATTTGGTTTATTTACTTATTTACGGGCCGCACAAAGAGCAGCCCGTGGATCAGCGCAGCTCCTCAGCCGTTTCATGACCCCGCAGCCATCTGCCACCGGCGCTCCCAGGCCAGGGTACCTGCTGCGAGAGGCACCGCTCCCCCCTTCTCCCACA